CATGGGCTACTGCCCTCCTCGATCCAGGCTATTTTCACAGACCCTCTACGTTACATGCTGACATGCAGCGCTTCCTGGTAAGGTTTCCTCAGGCAAACCCCTATGACCAACTGGACTTCGTTCTGGAGTCAGATACTGTAGCGGATGGCACTGGGCTGTCCTGCAAATGTCATGTGAATAGTTGCATTCGTGTAAACTGCTGGTTTTATATGTGTTTAAAAGAAATGTATTCCTCTGATTGTTCGGTAGAATCATTTGAATAAACTGAGGGAATGAAACTACCGAACAATCAGACCTCCCCTGTGTGAAGTGTGTCCTCAATTACCCGTTGCAACATTGTTGCGAACGGGTAATTGACAAGTTAAGTAGCCGTCCTTTGTTCTCGAGGGTGGCCGCCATTCGACAAACGAACACGTGGCCATTTTAAAACCCCTGAACAGTGGTGTTTTGCCGTCGAGTGTCTGGAACTCAAATCGGACACTCGACTAGGCGAACACTGCTGAAACTTCCACAAGCCCGGTCCGTTCGGTTCCTATAGCTAGAGGTTTTCGTGCCATTCATTCCCTGACTCCAGGACCGACCGCAGGGCCCATTCACATGGAACCGCATTCGGCTGCTTCACTCAGTGCGGTCGGTCATTTTATTCCCTCCATAAATTTCCCGAACCCCTGGTCTGATCTGGGTGATTTTTGGATATGTTGTTCACCCAGATCAGGGCTACCAGGGGATGTATGATTTAAGGGGGTACCCCTAAGTTTAGGGGTACATCCAGAAATGGGGGGAATTGCTGTACTGGATAAGGGGATTATGATGCAGGCTGAGGGGAGGAGATGTGTGGGAGGTTACCAGGACAGGATTGGCTACTGTACTAATGACTGTAAATCCCTCCCTTGCATGGGAGCATGCTTTAAAAGGCCAGTGTGGAATAAAGCTTTGAGTTCTGCTCCTGAAACTGTGTGTCGTCCAGTTATTGGGATTGCTGTTGGGATACTGCTGTTATTTTGCCTGCTGGAAACCTTGCCTGTGGATTTGCCATTTACTTGTTCCTGAGCCTCACTTGGATTATAAGCGGAGATAACCTGGGGAATATTGCATCTCCGCTACAGATACCAGCTTGTGGGGCTGCGGTGACAACCTGCAAGAGCACACCCACAGAAAGCGTGTGCACAACTCTTCACATTGAATACCTGGAATTCTTAGTGGGGTCCTTCACTATCCGCAGACTGGTAAAGGAGTTCTCCATTTGTTGCATCCTACTCTGGATGAACAAAGCATCAGAGCCAGCTCCCGTTTCCTACCAGACATCAAGAAAGGCATTTTCCATTTCTGCCTTCCTCGCAGGATCTCCCTGAGGGCGTACTCTCAACACAAATTGGTTCTCCAACCTACAGAGGGACTGCCAGAATTTAGTGTTCTTCAATTGGCTGCCGGATCCGGAGTGCAGAATGGTGGTCGCTTTCCTGCCAGCTGCGCCTCCCCAGGGGGCATATGCTCTTCCCTCCTTCACAATGATTGTGAGGATTCTCCTAAACCTCTGTGTTCAGCAAGTAACACTGCCTTGGCCATCCCGCTGTGACGAAGTCAACCTTGTTTCCTGGACCTTTGGGGACTGGCCGATGTGGATCTCCTCCCCCTATATTATTGTTATTATGTGATTATTTATATAGCGCCAACAAATTCCGCAGCGCTTTAAAGGTTGTGGACGAACAAACATGTAGTTGTAACCAGACAAGTTGGACACACAGGAACAGAGGGGTTGAGAGCCCTGCTCAATGAGCTTGCATGCTAGAGGGAGTGGGGTAAAGTGACACAAAAGGTAAGGATAGTATTAGACTAATGACAGTTGCAAAAGAGGAATCAGTCGGGAGCTATTAACCGTTTAATTTATACGCTTTTATGAAAAAGTGGGTTTTTAATGATTTTTTGAAGGAGTGGAGACTGGGTGAGCATCTAACAGAGGAGGGAAGTGAGTAACACATGAACGGTGCAGCCCTCGAGAAGTCTTGAAGGCGAGCATCAGAGGTGGTAGTACGGACAGAAGATCGACATAGGTCTTCAGCAGAACGTAAGGGCATAGACGTGACATACTTGTGTATTAGGGAGGATAGATAGGTGGGAGCAGCATTATGTAGAGATTTGAAAGCATGAACCAGAATTTTAAATTTTAAATTGAGCTCTATATCTTACAGGAAGCCAATGTAGGGACTGACAGAAGGGTGAAGCGTCGGACAGGAAGATGAGCCTCGCTGCTGCATTCATTATGGACTGTAACAGCACAAGATGGGAGTATGTAAGACCACTGAGAAGCAGATTACAGTAGTCAAGATGAGACAGGACAGTGGAATGGACCAGCACCTTAGTTGAATGCGCTCAATGTTTTTGAGGTGGAAGCGGCAGGATTTGGCGATAGACTGAACATGAGGCGTGAAGGAGAGATCGGAGTCAAAGAGAACACCTAGGTAGCGAGCCTGCGTGGTGGAGCTGATGGTAACACTGTTGACTTGGAGGGAGAAAGACACAGGAGTAATAACACTTGAGGGAGAAAGGACCAGAATTTCAGTTTTGGTCAAGTTGAGTTTAAGGAAGTGGGCAGCCATCCAGTTAGAAATAGGAGAGAGGCAGTCAGAGACACTAGTCAAGAGGGACGTGGGGAGATCAGGAGAGGACAGATAGATTTGTGTGTCATCCGCATAGAAATGATATTGGTAGCCAATGGAGATAATGAGTTTACCAAGGGAGGCAGTATAGATAGAGAACAGTAGGGGATCAAGGTGTCACGACACTCCTTAGTTGATTTGCCCTCGTGCAGTACTCACACTCACCACTGTTTCTGTTTGGCACTGTTCCTGATTTATTTTCATTAAGCACTTCACCTGGTCCTTGTTTAGCACCTATTTAGTTTGGTTTCTCCCTTCACTCCTTGCCAGATCATTGCTTTTTGTTTCCTGTTTCCCTGGTCTCATGTGTTCCTGGCTCCTGCATACTGTGACTTGGTCCTGTGTCCTGTGTTCTCCTGGTCTTCATCCTGTGTCCTCCTGATCCTTCGTTGCTGTGTCCTCTGATCCTGTGCTCTGGTTCCGTGGTCTCTGCTTTACTACCAGTGATCCTGTCCCTGCAGCTTTGCTCATTTATTCGATTTCTGATCTTGCTTCTTGATGTCACTACATTAGTCTTGTGACTCTGGATCTGTGCCCTACCTGATACTCGTGGTAGCTGCACAATCCTGCCCTTATACCAAAGGACTGTTACAGTATTTGTTGCCTGCACGATTCGTGCTTATTTTGATTTACTGTATATATTTTGTGGCCTACTGTCTAAGAATGCTGAAAAACCTAAGGTGGAAGCCTCAGAGCAACCAGTGGAAGAGGAGGTTATTGTGCAAAAGGCAGCTCACGACTTTGATGTGGAAAGGTTTGATGATTCCAATTTTAACCCTTTTACCTCTGGGGGATCGAAGATTGGCACCTTTCTTACAACCGTAACTATGAAAAATGAGTTGTCACCAAGTAAAGAAGACTGTTATCCTCAAATGGAAGACAAAGAGCCAGACTTGGTGCAAAGTGACAAACCCGTGATGGATCAAGCCCAAGAAAAGGATCTAAATGAGACCAGGCTTGTTCAGAACCCACAGTCTGAAGAAGACTCTATAATCCTATGTAAGTCTAATACCGTTCTTCAAGTTGCATGCTCTGGTAGAACAATTTCTCTGCTGCAAGAGGAAACACAAATTACCACACTTGTACCTGAACCAAGCTTTGAAGATTATTCAAATCAGCCGCTTAACCAAACTCCAAAGGAAGTGAGTGAAACCGAACAAGAAGGTAGCATTCACACATCTGGTACCTGTTCCCATGATGAAGGAAGCTCCTTATATGACTCATCAGTTGCCATGATGTCTGTCACTCCACCTTAACCTCAGCAAGTATTAAAAGAAGACTTGCCTTCAGTTGAGAGTACTTCTACGTCGCTTTAAAGAACTACCTCAAGCTGAGCTCACAAGTGAAGAAGAGAATGATTTAAGTAACCAGGTATCTCTAGACGTTACAG